TTCAACAGGATTCACTCGAGAATTGATTTTCCCTCGACAGCAAAAATGATTGCCGCCTTTTAAATTTTATTTGTGAAAGCTACTTAAAAATAGCTATCATTACATAAAATTTAAACAGGCAGCAATAATCCGCTTTCAAGCTTAGGCGATCAGGCTGACCGGTGACTGTATTTAGGGTTAAAAAATATGCTCCTCCACCAAGCATGCTACCACTGTACACTTTCCTTATTGGATACCGAAAAAAGTTTTGCCAAAGCTACACGTATCGCACCGAAGCTGTCAGCATTATCGTTGGTTTAAAACGCTTTTCTAACGTTAGATAAAGTACCGGTAGTGCATTCCGCACAGCATTTATTTTCGCTTCATTGCTACTTGTTGCTAGAAGTATGAGTAGATGCCTCCTTCGACTCAATCTTTTTAATGAACTTGGCAGGGTTACCAGCATACACGGAGAGCGCGTAAAAATTAACTTAAAGTCCAGATTCGCACACCAAAACTGCGTCACCACAAATAAAGCGTGCGACCATATCACACTATGGAGACTACACATATAGAATGGATTGCCTGTGCACGCCGCTTTTTTTCTGATTCCTCGCACAGACAGGGGTTGGGATGGTGATTTACAGCCAACCATCGCCGCACTTTAGAATCGAGAAAGGAGATCACCCAGCAAAGACTCGGCCGGCCGACGCGACTTGCAATGCCGAAGCGTATCGCCTGGCAGGACGTGGCGCTCAACGCTACCGGTATCGAAGCTGACAGAGTGCTGACTGCCTTTAAGACCTACGAGGTCTCGAAGAGCAATTCGTACGCATGTACGGTTAGCCTCGACGATGCCCCACACAAGATGAGGTACAGGATGCTTCAGTGCTCGTCAACAGCGTGCAAGGCGGCCGTTTCCTCGGGTGTACACGCTTGTTCTTGGCGCGGCAAAACCCTCTCTTGCCAGGTTAGCGACGCAGTGTCAATATTCGAGGTGGGGGAGCACGCCACAGCGGTAAACTCCCCCAAGAAGAAGAAACTGACGGATCTGCAGAAGATATACTGCCGTGAGCTCACGGCACAACATCTGCGGCCTGTCCGTATACGCAATGCGATGGCACGGAAGTTTGGAGCGGTGCTTCAGGACTTGCCAAGCTTGGGCACCGTCCAGAACTTCGTCAACTACTACTCCAGGAAGAACTTGTCGCGGAATGACATAGTGGACGATTTGAGGACCTGGATCCACGCGAGGGCGTACATCGGACGAGAGGCCATGTCCTAGACCTTCACATTCGCCTGGAATATGGATGAGCGAGGCAAGCCAGTGGTCGGAAACGGATCGGAAGAACAGCCGTTCGTTATTGGTTTAACGACCAAGACCCTAATGCTTCGGCTAATGCGGCCGCCGGACAACTACATACTTCATGTGGACGCGACGTACAAGTTAAACTATCGCGGATATCCGGTACTAGTGGTCGGCATCTCCGATAGGTCGCGTAGGTTTCATCTGGTGGCGCTGTACATTGTATCAGGTGAAACACAAGAAATTATACAACCGATGCTCATGGCGCTAAGGCGTCTGTACTGCTGGCTCACCGGTCGCGATCTAGTTGTTCGCTACGCGATGGCCGACGCAGACAAGGCCCAGTATAACGCTTTAAACGTCGTTTTTGGAGACAACCCTCAGTTCCAGAGCCTCATGTGCTTCTTTCACGTGATGGAGAAGGTCTACAAGGCGATCAAGCAGTTTCCCTCGTTTGTATCGTCTAATATTACCCACGACCTGTACGACCTACACTTCACCCGAATACATCTAGACTTTACGAGAATGCGGGACGCTCTGCTAAGGAAGTGGATGAACGTCCCAATGTTGGTGAACTTCGCTCAATATATGAGTGGCCAATGGTTGAGTGGCCACTTCAGTGGCTGGCAGTTATACTCAACACTCAGTGGCTTTGCATCAACCAACAACCCGGTCGAAACTTTCAACGCTATCCTGAAACGAGACTACACTTTACGTCGGCGTCTAAAAATGGTGCGCTATTAGCGGAGCTGGCCAATTGTTGCGAGGACCAGTCGGCCAACGAGCGCCCATTTCAAATGGAGGTGCTCCCGTCGGAAACCCTCACACGTCGCGTGCGGGAATTAGTCCGAGAGAATCTATTAGGTCTGGGTGGGGAACAACCTGGCGCTTTGGAGCCTCCTGGGTGCATTCGAGTCGCCTCCAGGCTCGCGAAACGGATTGCGGTTGCCCCTAACAACCGGTCAGAGCACGGCATCGCTGTCTCGGCTCAAATGGGACTTAACTACGCTAGAATGGAGGTGGAAGGGCAGATTTGAATCGTCGGTGGTGTGACTGCAACTACTGCTACGCATTTGGGGTCTGCGTACACGTACTCTATGCTGTACGAACACAAGATTACATTGACGCAAGCGGACGTGAAATTTTAATCTCTCGCAACATGCAGAAGAGCAGTGGCGCAGCGGCCTCCAAGAACTCAGGGCAGCGAGGAGGACGACCAACGACGGTTGGGCCCGCACTTACGTTCTGAGGTCTAACACCTCTACAAATGGAGCTGGCTCCTGTCTTTGTTTAGATTTCCGTATCCACACGGTAGAAGAACACTGTGTATATGAGGAATCATGCATAATAAAAGTTAGTCGTTTCCCGATTTGACATTACAAAAAAATATTGGATATCTTTTTAAGAAACCTCTTTCTAAAAGATTCCTCACATAGAGTTGTTGCGTACAAAGCTGTCATTAAGGATGGTCTTTCATTTTTCATTGTAACTCTTCATTGTGAAGTCCTGGAATGTTTTGGATTATTTAGGCTATCTAAAATACCACAAATTAGTTTGAGCCTTCCTCATTCCAGCAAACATCGCAAGCACACTTGAACCAGATTTCGTCTCCATAGTGGACGACGAGCTGCGCGCTCGCAGCGACACTCTCGATCATCCGAGCGACCACCCTTCACGCTGGACCTGTTTTTCATCTTGAAAAACTCGATGTTTGAAGTACATGCGTGCTGGAAGAACCGAGCGATAGATCCACACTTTAGTGCCTCCACGTAGACAGATCTGCCTCGCTTGCGTTTCTCGTTCAGGAGCATTGTGTAGCCACTGTTTTGTTTTTTGCCTTTTCTGGTTGGCCCTCGTACAGAGCTTCGTACTCACAAAGCGCTCCGTTGTATTCGGCGATATTCTCGCCAGCAAATAACGCCTGCGTCGTGTACACACCCAGCCCCAACCGGTGAGTATTGTACAGTATGAGGCCGGGGTGCGTACACGGCGCGTTACTGCACTTTGCGTCCAGTCGACAGCAGTCGGGGGTGCAGTAGATAGCCATCTTAGCATTGTTACAGGTGTCGGCGAAGCAGTCCCCGTGGCACACGCAAGCGTCTCCATCACCAATGTCATCGTAAGCCCCACAGGTACAATAGACTCGGTGATAGGCTCCACCCAGTCTGACCACGCTACCTCCTCCATTACGTACGTCTCGTACACATTTATTTGGGTGACGTTACTTGGAGGAGGGGGTTTGGGCTCCACAAACACCGGCCTGTAGCTTCGTACGGCGTTCAGCTTCGCTCTCATGCTCGGCATCCGCAACAGTTCCTTCATTTTCTTGGCTTTGACGGAGTGGGCGTGATGGATGCTTGTTCCGCTACGTGTTACAGCACATTTCTTTTGGTGTCTTTTCTTGCGTGATCTCGGCACGTGCCAAGTGCTAGCACGCTTCTTTGCCTGGTGTCGTATCTTCGACCGTTCCAAGCGCGTGAAAACGGTATTTAAATACTCAGCCACAGCAGACACGTCCAGTAGCCCAGAACCTTCCGACAAGAGAGCGTTGGGTGGTGGAGCAGTACAAAGTGCTGGAGTATCCGACTCGGATCGGCCCTCGGGTTCTTCTTCTTCGCAGCGAGGATACACGATGTCTGGACCAGAACTTAATTCAAAAACCTCCTTGGCGCATGTGCTGGGACGATTGCCAAAGTCCTCACTTCCTGAGGCTTGACCAACGGTGGCTGAATCCGTGGGTTGCTGAGCGTGGGCCACCGTACGATTAATGTGGGTGCTGACCTCTTATTATCGTCCATAAACTGCGAGCTTGTTAAATTCATTGCTGAGGCCATTGAAATAGGCGCTAGGTCTCTTCCCTCATACTCTTCCCCATCGTTGGCGCCGTTAAGAGCCACTACGTCTCTTGTAATCTCAACATCTGAAGAAATGGAGGTGTGGGGCGGGCTCGCACGTTTTGTAATGCCTAAGGCATTCAATGAGCAGGGTGTAGCATCAATCTGGTCACGTATAGCGCGGCCAATGTTTTTTTTTGACCAGCAAAGACTGCGTTGATGATGCCGTTCACCTTATCGCACAATAATGAGCGGTCGGATTGAGCGTCGAACATCCCGGACACGAGGGAAAAGGTGCGGAGCATGCGCCATTTACCATTGACACGCGTTCCATCGCTGTCGCTGACCCGCACAATCATCTGAGTGAGCTGAATTAACTCGTCTGTGGTTACTTTGATAGGGTGTTCCAAGCCAGGGGTCGCGTCGACCCGTAGGATGATAGCCTCGCGGTACCCACGATGGTCGCCGGCGACGTACATACGCGTGTAGTAGGCGATTGTATCACCGGCATGTAGCGCGTCAGGGGGAGCTGAGTGGAAGTGAGCCCAACCATGACGACGTGGGGCTGTGATGTGGAAGCTGCGGCGTAGAAGCTTCTACGCCCAGCGACTCGGCGGAGCTGGAGGTCTTCCTTTCCAGCAGTTAAGCCCTGGTTTCGGATGCGCACAACACGTCACATTCAGAGCACATTCACACCAACAATACAGCACTTACCTTCACGGGACATTCATTCCAGAGCAGTCGGGACGGCTACGAGTCGTACATGTAATACGACCTCCGAGTTGGGCTCGATGGCAGAAGGGCCCGTCGAACGCCCCGACCATGTCGTTATGTGTTTCCCGTTTAATGTGTTTTTCAGATTCGAACGGGTATTTATAAGGTTATCTCGCATACACGCACATTGGTGGTACAGCTTTCGTGACAACACTTCCAGCACCGATTACGGCGCCGCGGCCAATGGTGACTCCAGGGACGACGACGACATTGCCACAAAGCCAGACGTCGTCTTCGATCGTGATAGGCTTGCCGATCTCAAGGCCCGAAGAGCGCACCTCCGGATCAAGCGGATGACTGGCCGTGTATAGCTGCACGCTCGAGGCCAGAAAGACTCGGTTGCCGATAGTGATCGGACACCCGTCGAGAAACACACAGTTGAAGTTCATCTGGACGTTGTCCCCGATTCGGATATTGTAGCCGTAGTCGCAACGGAAGGGCATCTCGATCCGACAGTCCTCCCCGATTGCACCTAGGAGCTGCTTCATCACAGTCTTGGCTTCAGGACTCTCCGCTTGGGTCATGTCATTGAACTGCTTGGTCAGCTCACGTGCTGAGCGTCGATCCTCAGCCAATGTCGAATCAGCTGCGATAAACAGGTCACCACGAATCATCTTAGCTTTTTCGGTGTCCATGTTAGGAAAATGACGAAGCCGTGGCTTGCTATGCTGATAATCAATACGTAAGTGAATGGAGAGAGCGAGGAAAATAAATGCGGCGTAAAAGCAGCGATGACACGTGTCTCGAACGGAAGCCAGCCTCGCTTTTAACAAAGCCGCGACAATTTTACGTGCGAAAGGTAAATGTCTTGCTGTTTTTGAGTAACCGCAGTACACGAATGGTTTCGTTCATGCACCGTACATGTATTTTAGTGTACCTCAACATTCACATAATCATCGGATCAGGTGGCGTCCAGGTTTCCCAGAGCAAAAATATTTTCAGAAATCTGATGCGTCATGTACTATCCAGTGATAGTACCAGATTTAATTCAGGTTTCGGAATTAAAGAGAAGAATCAGGTGCAAGTAATTTCTGCGAACTGCATAAATTACTTGCACAGTTTTTTTTCCAGGTAGAAACCTGGGATATTCATATGTGCGAAATATGGGTAAAAGTGGAAATGAGGGCTGGCGAGTTGTGTCGGAGCGACTCTCAGCCAACCAAACGGCAGAGGTGATAGCTTCTCAAAGAGTTAGACATCCTCAACGCATTCATGTTTTCTCTAGGTTGAACCAGGTATTGGCCATGTATTGAACTTAGTTAGCAATCCTGCGTATCCGCTGACTACCAAGAAGTTCTTCATCTTCAAAATCGAATGCAGCATCGCCCAGCGAAGCTTCAGCAGTCCAGTAGCTGACACGGTACGTGGTGCGTCGCTACTTACACAAGCCCAGAACAGACGGCAAATGAACACGCCGCAGCTATCACCGTCGGTCTGCATGGGCTCTGTCAGTGAGGTAGTAGTGAACTCCTCTCCCGTAGCCTTCTCAATGATCTCGCTCGGCATTGCTTTTAAAACCTTCAGATTCTTTTTACCACCCATGCTGTCATATGTATTGACTTGTAGAGCAGCTTTATCAGCCACTAAGCATCCCCAGTGAATACCCCCAACGTTTACGGGTAACAACACGTACGGATGCAAGGCGACGCCCTCAGCAATGTGCTCTAGCGTTTTTGCAGGAAGCGAGCCAATTTTGCTTGAGTTCTGAGAAAGCGTAATCGCTACGTTCTTCTTGTAGCGTCTCAAATACACTGCAAAAGCTGTCGTTGCGTTGTCCATCAGCCAAGCCGATCCTCGAAAACAGAAAATATCTGAATAAGCCAGATCAAACCCGAGTCCATGCAGCTGAGTATACGGCCAAGCCTCCAAAAGTTGGAGGGGCACGATCTTTGCTGGAACAGGGTCTTCTCTAGCAGTTTTGACTTCACTATTTATCCATGCACAATATTGAACAGCGTCCCGGCAGGTGGACTGCATGTTCCAGATCCATTTCATTGCTCCCAGTTGAGCTCTTGTGAACTGTCTAGCCTTTTCAATAGTAGCCGCATAGCAGACTCGACCATCTTCTCTCTCCCCATCGCTATCAAGCTCAATTCGCTCTTCTTTAGCCAACCCCCATTTAGTTGCCCCAATGCGTCCTCAATAATAAACTCTGCCAGGCGAAACCGAGCTCTATCGGGAACGAAACCATCATCCTCACGCCATTCTACCACCTTTCCGTTGCCCTTGCTCTTGACTTGGAAGGTAGCAAAGAACGATTTCATTTCACGTACGCCGGGCTTAGCGGTTTGTAGCGTTGAGACGACGTCACAGACATTACTATCCCTCAGAAGAGCGCGGAGCTTCATCCCGCTGTTGTACGCTTTGAGCGCAACCTTCGCCTTTTTTTTCTATTCGACACGGCTCAGCTGTGGCCTACCGACACGTCTAACACCTCCTGACAACTTGGTCTTACGCCCATGATCTTTAGTGCCATTTCCATTACCACACACACAGCTTCAGTTTCTACTGGGGCTGTGGTTTCAAAGGCCGGTTTATTCGCTGTGAAGTTTGTATGTTGTGTAGGTTTCGTATTGGAGTGAGTACCTTGGGTTGCTTGCGCCTCGGAATAAGAACCACCGATGGTTCCGTCGACGTTTCCTCCAGATTCATCGCCACTGTGGTCACCATCGCTATCGGCACCGTCGCCGTCCGGCGTACTCACCACCCGTCCTTGACGCAAATTGTACCACCACTGTTCTAGCTGAGCCATCGCTGTGTTGAAATCACTGCCCGGAAATTGGACAAATTCACCACTAATTCGTCCAAACGCCTGCTGGGTACGTCGATACTTCTCCGCTTCAGTGAGAGTTTATAAATACGCTGGCCTTGTATATCTTAGCCATGAAAGGCTTTCTTACCCCGACCAGGTTCCTGGTACAAGCCTGCTCTGTCCAAACCACCTACACGAATTCCAACAACACATCATGACAAACATTAGTCAAACCTGGTCAAAACCTGATCAAAACCTGGAAATACCTGGATGCAATGCTAAAGTATGGGATGATCAGCGGATTACCACTCGCCTTTCTGTACACCATAGCATGACGACATGAAAGCTTCATCGTCTGGTAGAACTCGCAATCGCACGTCAAGTCATCCTTCTCGAGAAGGTACTCGTGGCCTTCGTACTGGACATTGATTGTGGAGCCGCTGTCCTTGAACAAGTAGTTGTCTGCTACGGCTGGGTCTGTCGCGACGTCGTATTGTGTTTTAATTGCTGCGGCTACCCAGCGCGTTGTCACCCCCAACACCACGTCCATATGCTCTGGATCAGAGGCGTCCCGCAAAGTACCAGACATCTCGACCTTCGACTTGTACTCTTCTTCCTTGCGGTGCTGGATGTTCAGAGGAACCTTGAGGCTGGCTCGCATCGAATTGACCTTTTCACTGCCGCTTGAGTTTGCCAAAAAAACCTTTAACTCGGTTGTTTGTGTGATTTCCAAAGTGAGGCAAGGTCACACGATACGCCATTACCCTCATTTCACGGCAATCATTCCAATTCTTGTCAAAATGCTCTAAAAGATTTGTACGGCCGTCTCTGCAAGCTAGATGTTTGAACGCATCACGATTCGGCGCATACGCTTCTATAGCTCGAAAGTAGGTCATGTTTGTGATTGTGTGCTTCATTTGTGCCAGAACATCTGCATCGTACGTTCCAAACTTCGTAGACTTCCTTATAATATCGTGAAGCCACTTGATCATGAAGTGACAGTACAACACACGAGCCTCCGGGAGCTTCTTGCGAACGACATCAACTTCACGCATGTCCTTATCCACGATAACAATTCGTACAAATTACCAGTGTTCATTTGCTCGCTTAAAGTGATCGAAGCAATTGCCCATGTGCCAGTCACTGTTCGTTTTAATCAGTGAGTATTGCACGGGCTGGCCGTTGCCAAACTGGTCCATTGCTACCATCGTGAAAAGCTGGTAGTTGTTCCTGCCAGCATGAAAAAATACCTGATCAATACCTGTTCAAATCTTGGATAAACCTGCACTACGTATCATTACATATAGCTCACTGGTTGGTCTTGGGTGTGCAAACCATTTGACGGAAAGCTGTCCACCATGGCGCGCATGTGGCCGCTTGTCAACGAAATAACACCAGTATCTCCGCGAGCACTTTCATGCACTGTGGATACGCTTGCCGATGACGATCTGTTGAAGTCCACAACCATTTCAGCAACTGCATCATCATAAGACAGCTCATCGCCTACGAGCCAAAGATGAGCGCATCAGTATAAAACCTTAATATCACGCCATTATATACAGGCTTACCTTGATCCTGCAGCCGGAGCAGCAGGTTATGAACGTCGTTCACTGTGACTTGATGATTGGAGCTGTCCCGTATATAGTTGTAGACACTCACAGTGCCGGCTTTGGCTTCAACCAAGAGCTCAATTTCTGGCATCAAGGGTGAATCAGCAGGAACCTGGCGGATACCTGGATAAAACGTGTAAATTCTTTCGGAGATCCGGTGGTTGTGACTGTACACTTCTCGCTTCATCGTGATGGCCCAGGCGCCGTCACGGTGATTGGTCACTTGTGCCAACATCTGAAATGGGCAGTCGGTCGAGTTTAACTTGTGTGACGTCCGCTTACTCGTCAATCTATCACGCTCCGACCATCCGTGGGTGTAGATAAACTTGCGCTGATAGGCTCCATTTCGATAGGTACGAGCGGTATCTCCGAGTCTGGAAGTCTTTGGTACCGAACTTGACTGCTAAGGTGAGCATTATGACGAACGATGTTAATCACCTCCTTCACCACGAGTTTCTGACGTGTAGCCTCCATGTATTTCTTTAACCCCCCCTCCAAAGAGGCCCAGGAATTGTGCTGAGCCTTAAACGCAGGAACTTCAGTCAATACCTCGACTCCGGTCCGAAGGCTCTTCAGCCACTTGAGTCTGTGCGACGGCTTCCTCCGACACACCCGAACTGTCCGAGCCATTCATAGTCTCCTCACCAGCTGTTTCCGCGGCTTTCGCGTCGTCGGCCTGCTCCTCCGTGGCATCATCGGTGGACTTTCCCTCTTCTCCATCGTCCGATCTCTGCACAGTTTCTAATGCTTGAGCCCTCTCAGACCACGTACGCGCATCATGCACGCGAGCGATGTCTGCCCATCAAGCTTCCTCGGCTGAAAAAGTATGGAGACGTTGTTTCGAAATACCCACCGACGGGCCTGCCTCCGGATCGAGGCGTGTGTCATGAGATTGATCTGGTTCCTGGAACCAAATACTGCGTAACAAGGCAATGGACTGTGCCGAGAGAGCAGTGTGACGTCATTAATGCAGTCTTCCGTGCGAAGCACGAGGCAGGGATGGTGCGTGAGAGTAAGTCTCCGCACTCGACACCCACGTTCTGTGTCAGAAAGCCGAGCGGCAAGTGGCGCATTGTTCATGATTCTAACGAACTAAATGCGGTCACTATTCCGGCGTAAACACCGATTCCTCACAAGGATGTTCTGCAGAACAACATGGTAGGCTGTACGTTGTACGGCGCGCTCGACCTGGTCGATGGTTACAATCTATTGCTCATGAGAGTGAGCGACATTCCGCTGACAGCGGTGAGTACTCTGAGCGGTATGCTTAGGG